TAATAGCCATCATATAACAAACATTATTTTCAAGACATCATCCTCAATGAAAGCAGAGATCATCGTGAAAAGGCCCCCAGTGCAGTCATGTGAGTTGAATTTCCCAAGCATGAGTAAAAAGTAACATCTAAAAAGACAAATGGGAAATAATAAGGTAGTTTCATAATCTCAAAGAGCAACTTTAAGGGAATAAAAAATCATTGTTCTCTTTTTCAATGGGCGGCTTATGGTAAGTATTCATTTTCTCGGACAAGGCGTTTTAACCAGTAACAGCGCTTGCACGCACTATAACATTTCGCCGTCCGTCATGGGCGACACAAACTTTTTCGACTCTTTTGTAACATGTGTGCGCCCGTCTTTAAAGCTATACCTTGCCTTGGACTGAGTTCAATTTGCTGTCGTCTTTCAAAATGAACAGTGCAGCCCTAATGGCGTCTTTATGTAAAAGGCATTATTGGTTCTTGGCCTTTTCACTCAAAGGTTCTAACTCTAGATTTGAGCTTAAATCACACTTTGGCAGAGGGGGAAGTTGCTTCAGTTTTGTATATCTCAAGACTTCGGTTCCAATGAATAGGTTTCTCATAAATATATTAATGAGGTGAGAGCTTCCATGTCTTCGTCCTTAATGACAAAAAGTAGATGGTTTCAGTTTAGTTAGCGTTTTACGGCACTTGCAACACAATGAGGTCATATAAGAGTCGAAGATTAGAAATGTTACCGAAGGCAACATAAAAAAAAGAAGGAAGCAAGATAAGTAAAACGAATGTTAAACGGGAAAGAAGGAGCAGACCTCACCTGAGCACACGTCAACCACCAACAGAAGTAAATAGAACTGAGTTGAAATCAGCAGCCTTAGTGAGACGTTTAACAAACAGTGACAGTGAACAGTCGGTGTGTCTGTATGCATTCCTTAATGAGATAATACCAAGAAATATTCCCCCCCCCCCCTCTTTTCTTTTTTCTGCACCGATGCACAGACTCGTAAAACCCAACATGAGTATAAGATAAGCAGGGTAAGAAGGTAGAGGAAAGTAGAAGACGCGCTCGAAAACGACGTATCTCCAGAGTAGAAATATTATATCTACACCTAGTATCATCCATTTGTTGTGATGTCTTCAAATAGTAAATGTTATTGTCAGTAGCTTCTGTCGTGCTAGTTATGCGGAAACAACGGCATGATGTTTATGAATGAGTGTGAATCGCAATAGCAGAACAATGTATAAAGAGTCAGTCTGCTTAGTCCGCTTAGTCCGTTTGACGGTCTACCACGATGCCTATGTCTAACTTGACGATGGTCTATCACTGGATCAGTCTGACAATTGTTCCACTAGATGGTATAATAGTCTACAACCATCTACAACCCTGACCCTATCCCTAATCCTCACCCTGACCATAACCTAACCAGATACCTCACCCTATCACAAACCTTGGTGGTAACCATAATCCTATCCTCCAACCCTAACCAGTTGACACGGCACAGGTAGACCATCATTTGGACTGACATCAAACATTTTTGCTTTGGGTTTTTTTGTGTTGCATAACCTTAAATCACCGAAAGTCTTTTTTTTTTTAATGAACCAGAAAAGGACAGGTGTCCAACAGTTGTTTCCAGTTCGATTTACCTTCGCACTTTCTAGATTCATAATAATTACATTTTTGTAAGATATCAGACGTGTATAAAATCATGCTGCCCCAGCACCGAGTACAGGGTGTCTCTTAATTTAAGTCAGAGCTGATTAATACAGGTTGTCCCTTTAAGCAGCACTAAATGTAGAGTTTCTTTATAAATCATCACGAGTTCAAGGTGTTAAAATTCAAAACTGAGTATAGAGCGCTTATAGATAATATGGATCGTAAAATGCATAAAGCTTACTGTTGAGCGGGAATTTGTGCTATACAAATGCTATTTAATATTATTATTATTATCATTATTTTTTTTCTCAAGTAAGCATTAATAACAAGGTGTCTTCTAGGTCAGCACTGAATACAGGGTGTCTCCAGAAACAGTACTGGGAATGGGTTTTGAGTGTCTCTAAAGTCATCACTAAGTACGTGGTGTCTCTAGCGACCTAATGCGTGGCGAACAGGGTGTCTCTAAAATCAGAACTATGTCCCTTAAGTTGTCAAGTAGTAGAGGAGGTCTTTAATTCTAGACAAAGGAAATCGCAGGACCTACATCAAATATTATATTTTATTGACTACCTAGAGAAGTTAGTAGAATAAGATAACTTTTCCATGCAAAATTCTTCGACCTTTTGCTCATCACAGACTAAGAAAAAAATGTTGCAGAATGTTATTTCTCAATATTTTAATTTAAAACGTTTTGTTTTTTAAATTGTACCAGTATTTCCTGAAAATATACGTTTGACCTACGATGGTCTATTACCCACTTTTTAGGGCCACACTATATAGTACCTGGTACATGGATCTGACTTTCAAATGGCATGCAATATATTGGAGTAACGGTATCTAGATCTAATACTAAAAGATGAATCCACATCTTGTATAGACTGTACTGAACGCGTTATATTAGCCTTTTTGTACTCAATATTTGTGATTATTTCTCGTTTGGATAACTTTATTCATCTTATAAGAGAATTCTGTGCAAATACCGATCTGAACTTGAAACAGGAGTTTATGACGGAGGGGCCAGTTACAGTGCGAGTCATGAGTGCTATTTTTACTTTGGAATCGATTTATTTGAAAGGTCGATTCTATGATGATCATCATCATCATCATCATCATCATCATCATCATCATCATCATCATCATCATCATCATCATCATCACCATCGTCATCGTCATTTTAAATGCTTTTGTAATAATAATTGTTATTGTCACTGTTGCTGTTATAGTTATCTTATTATATACAGATACACATGTAATTATGATAACTATCACTTTAATGATTTTATCACATTTACTTATTCTTGACGTGCAGTAATATTCTGAATCAGCTAGCATTATACGGGGTGCCCATTTGGGGAATCGGATCGGGTCGGGTCGGTTTGTTAGCCAGATTGAGGGCGCAAAGCGGCTGTCGTGGCACAAACCGATCGCGCCCGACTCGTTGCCCCCAAAACAAACGCGTTGTTTTCAGGCGACCAGTCGGGTGATCGATCCGACCCGACCCGACTCGACCAGAGCCGACCCAATCCTATCCGCAATGGGCACCTGGTATTACAATTCCTACTCCCAGAATTGCACGTGTGGACAGCATTATATAATATGTTTGTGTGTTGTATTTGTATTTTTTCGACTTGTTCCTCCTCATACTTTTCTCAAATAATAATATGTCTCGAGACACATGCTGTTTTAACATTTTCATAATATTTTACAGCTGACATATTTTTATACATAGTCAGGTACCCCCCCCCAACCAGCCGTTTCTTTTACTTACCAAAGTGCTTTTTAATCATCATCATTTCCTGTGATTTCAATTCAAGATTTAATGCCTTACCCACCCACCCACCCACTAAGCCCATACATACATCCCATGGCATATCCGTCTGCGTACAGACAGGCTCAGATCACACAGTTTACAGAATACACAAATTAAATTTAATTGGTTTCTTATCCTCGAAAGTTTGAGATTTTGTGATTATACAATGTGGATTATACTTATTTTACCCTGATTATGCCTCCTTTTCAAAAGATAAAATGAGTTGCAGCTATGTCTCATGCCTCGTGCACATTAGGGCAATTTCGCTCGTCACATGATTGCTAGTATGCAAATGAGCCTTTCATCTCTCTTCACTGCCAAGTGGCGTCATACTTCGCAGCCTTGCGACCTGTGAATATTTTCATAGATTATGGGCTTTCTGAGGAAAAAAACAACAGTAAGTCTGTGGTCGTCGTTATGCTCAAAGAAGTGGGAGCGGGTTTATCCTCAGCATCATCATTATTACTGCCTTTCTCCCCCTGTACCAGGGTATCGACCACTAACAACACGTTTCATCCACTTTACCCTATCTTGGAATAGTTTGTTTATATTATTTCATGTTTTCCCACTATTCTGTACATCATTCGGCTTTGTTCACTGTCCTTCATTGGCCCTGCTGGCGCGGAAACCCCTCGTTTTCCAAAGTCTGAAAAGTAAATGTGGTTATACTTCACTTTAACCCACAATTATGACGTGGCTGTTTGCTCCAAAATACCAAAACCGGTCTTTCTCTATGTGTGTGTGTGTGTACACCAGAAACGTGAGACGGACCTGTTTCTCGACACGCTGGGAGGACCTGGGGGTACGGTGGTCAGGGAAAATGGCTCACCCTCCCTCACTGACCCCCGCTTCCATCAGCAGCAACAACAGTTCCAGCAGTTCCAAAACCAGACACCGCGCATGTCGCCCTATGAGCTGCAGGAGTACAGCCAGAAACTAGGTCAGTAGGTCAAACCGCCACGGCCTTCACCTTTTTCTTATAGCTTGTCTATAGATTGTCATTATCAAATAAATTGATTTTTATGACATATTAATTGATTGGAGGTGGAGGCGTTTTTTAAAGTACGGTTAAAGAGGGAAGGTGAGGGTGGGAGAAAATAGAGAATGTATTGAAGAGAAAGAGAGAGAGGGGGAGAGAGGGGGAGAGAGAGGGAGAGAGATAGAGAGTGAGTAAAAGAGATAAAGGGAGAGAGAGAGAGAGAGAGAGAGAGAGAGAGAG